AGAACCGTGTGCATCCGCTCCTTGTAGGTGATCCAGTTGGATCCATCCTGCGCGAGCTTGGGAACGTTGAAGAGGTTCGGAGCGTTGGGGGTTGAGTGGGAGAGCGACATTGAGGCAGGGCTCATAACCTGTGAGCGTAGCAACTATCGTAGCGGCGCGACCTCAGCGTTCGGGAAAAGAACGATGATATTAATAGTTACCTATCGTAGCGGCGCGACCTAATATACATGAGCGCGATGGAGCGATTAAGTAGCGACCGAAGCTCACCTCAGCGTTCGGGAAAAGAACGATGAGGTGGGCGCTCAAAATCGTCGCGCAAATCTACGATGGGCGCCTAACTACGATATGGGGCGGAGTAGCTTTGAATACGAAAACAAACGAATGTATTTACGTGTATCGTATGCGTGGTCCGAATACAACAGGTTGTAAACAGAGAAAATAGTAATAGAGTTGCAAAGAAATGAAAGCTTAACGGCGGTGATGTCCAGAGACTTGAGGTATATTTGGGCGTACGAGTCGGAGGGTAATCGGTTGCTCACGTAGATTGCACTGTGAATGAGGTCTTTGTCGGAGCGTGACACTGCCGTACTGGGGAGGACCAAATTCCAGTGTGGGGATCTGAAGGACAGTTGTGAGTCAATTCGATACGGTAATTCCTGAAGGCAAAGGATATCCCAGTGTGTAGGATTTGTGAGGTTAAGGAGTGACTTAAGGACCTCAGGCTGCTTGCGGCAGTTAAGGCACTTGACTCGCAGGCCCCGCACTGAGTTGGTGTTCATGTTCGGACACCCGCCTTGTTCGGGCGGGCTGGTGCCGGCTTGGGGTGGAAAGTGGGGTTGAAGTACGCTGAGCCGTTAGAAGAACGTTCAAACGACGTAGCTTGTGCTGCAGCTTTGACGGGGCAGCAGCCCGCCACTGACTTGTGCGGTCCACCACAGTTCGCACAGTGGGCTTTGATATGCGTGCAGTGGCGGATGTTGCTGCACTTTGTCTTGGCCGGGCACAGGCATTCGCGCGTAGGATGGTTCCCTGCACAGCGTGCACATTTCAATGAAGATGGCTCGAGAAGGTGGGGACACGCCTTGGCGACGTGGCCAAATTCTTGACAACGGAAACACTGGAGGGGTGGAGGACTGAACTTGCGCACTGGACACAGTGCACCGCAGATAGATAGAGACCGGTAGATGAGGGTGTCTGCCACCGAGGGGTCAGACAGGGCAATGACCAGAGTGGCGTCGGCTTTGGCAGCGGTAAGCAGGCGATGTTTGTGGAGCCACCGCACACTGAGGATGGAGTCTGGGGATGGAATGGTGCCTTGATTGGATAGATAGATTGCCTCCCGCGCAGCCGGTGCGCGCGGGTCGAACGTGGTAGGTACAGCGGCGGCTGATACTACGTATGATTTGCGTTCGATGGAGGCGTCCGCTGCGAAGTGCTCAACCCAGCCGTCAGCGTGGCGCAGCAGGAGCTGCGCTTGCGCTTCCGACTGAGCTTGCACAAGGACACTACCGTTGGAGCGCCTGCGAACACCATGGACGGCAGTGTTCGCCAGGCCCTCCACGGCGGACGCGGTCAGCGCTTCCTCGACGCGAGCTTTGAGCTCTGCTGCCGAGAGAGCGCGGACGGCACCGGTAGCGTTGACGTTGGGTAGGGCTATAACTACTTCCAATTCGCTTGGGCGAGGGGGGGGGGGGGGACGTTGAGGGGGAAGGGGAGGCACTACAGTGGTAGGAGGGGAGGGAGCGGTCTTGAACGCCGCCTCGATTGACGCCTTGACGACGGCGGTGGCTTGCGTTGTAAAGGACTGCAAGGCCTGGTGTGTCAAAGCTGTCAGTGAGGCCTCAAGCCCTTTGAGAGAGGCGCTGGGCAGCGCCACTGGGCTCGAGCCACTCTCTGTGGTCGTCGCCCCTGGGGTGACTCCCTGAGTGGCTGAGTCGATGAGGGCCGTGGCGCGTGCGGTGGAGAGAAGTTTGTCCAGTCTATCTTTGCGGCGTTGAGCCAGGGAGGGTAGGAAAGTCAGTTCTGTTAAGATTTGGTCGAGTAGTTCCAGGACCGTGTCGGCCGGCTTCAGTGGCGCTAGGTCGTCCACCCCGGAGCGTCGAGACCAGTCCAGCGCATGCTGGGCGGGTGGGGAGCTAGATGGGACGGCCTTGTTAGAGCGAGAGCCCGTCGGAGCAGGAGGCATGGAGGGATGCAGCACGTGAGCCACTCGGCCAGATGATGGGGGACAAGGATCAAGATGTGTTCTTCGCCCTTTGGTTGACGACCACCCCATGCTCAGAAGAGGGCTCGGTCATATATCCGGCAATCGCCTTTCCCACATGCCCTCGCACCTACATACAACTCTAGTACTACATCATAGACCTCGTTCCCTGTAAAAAGTCGATGGATAGGTCTTGCAGAATGTGTTGATACCAATCCGAGTCCTTCAGCCCACCCGCGCGATCCGCCACTGCAAGAGACGCCGGGCGGGCGCGGTGCGCGCGCGGTTGGGCGCCAAACCAGACGCGACCGGGTTTTCTGTCCGGCGCCTGATGACTAAGCTGTCCAAAAGCTTCGCAGGCGTTGCCCCCCCCAGAGGATCGAGTCAGGAGCGCGTCCACGTGACGTCCACGTGTGGCAGATAGTAAGTTATGCCATCGTTATGACTTGGTTTATAGCACCAGCCTGCGGATTTTTTTCAATGTTCCGCCTCCTCTCTCGCCCTCTCCGCTCGCCCCTCCTTGCCCCCGCCCTCCGCAGAACGATGGCTGCCACCCCGGACTACGTACGTCTGTCGTTTTTCTGTTTTTGTGAGCTGTCTAGCTGATGCCGGGCCATAGAACAAGGTGCTGTATGCGCCCCTCTCTGAGATCGACCCTGAGGTGCAGAACATCATCGACAAGGAGACATGGCGGCAGTTCTCTGGGCTCGAGCTCATCGCGTCTGAGGTACGTCTCTCTCATTCTCTCATCGGTGTGCAGTAGCTGATTTTGGAGGCAGAACCTGACGAGTAGGGCGACGATGGAGGCCAACGGCTCCATCCTGACGAACAAGTACTCGGAGGGCCTCCCGAACGCCCGGTACTACGGCGGGAACGAGTACGTCGATGAGCTCGAGGTGCTTTGTCAGAAGCGCGCTCTGCAGGCGTTCCACCTTGACCCCGCCCAGTGGGGGGTCAACGTGCAGCCCTACTCCGGTTCTGTACGTAAACTGCTTTTAGACGTCTGACGTTGATGTATTCTGACCCGTCTCGTTTTCGTGCACAGACTGCCAAGTCAGTTGGTCGTGCCTCTGTGTAGCGTGGTTCGATGCTGACGGTCTTGTGCAGCTTTGCTGCTCTCACTGCGCTTATCCAGCCCCAGGACCGCCTGATGGGTCTTGGCCTCCCCGATGGTGGTCACTTGACGCACGGTTACTACGTGTGTGCTCCTCCTGCACTGCAACGATATCCGCTGACCAGGATGTTATCCAGACCGCTAAGAAAAAGATGACGGCGTCGTCTATCTACTTCCAGTCGCTTCCCTACGCGCTCGACCCCGAGACGCAGTTGATCGACTACAAGGGCATGGCCAAGCTCGCAAAGATCTACAAGCCGCGTTTGCTCATCTGCGGTGCGTCCGCGTACCCGCGCGACTGGGACTACAAGGCGCTGCGTGCTATCGCGGACGAGCATGGCGCGTACCTCATGGCGGACATTGCACACACCAGCGGCCTTGTCGCTGCTGGTGAGCTCGCGGACCCCTTCCAGTACTGCGACGTTGTCACGACCACGACGCACAAGACCCTCCGCGGCCCCCGTGCTGGTCTCATCTTCTTTAAGCGTGACTCGGACAAGGCCAAGGACCTCGAGAAGCGCGTGAACGACGCCGTTTTCCCTGCGTGCCAGGGCGGCCCCCACAACAACGTATGTCACCTAATGGACTTCATTCTTAAAACGTTTCCACTTACGCATCGTGCTTCAGACCATTGCTGGCATCGCGACTGCCCTCCTCCAGGCATGCCAACCCACCTGGAAGGCGTATGCCAAGCAGGTCATCGCGAACGCCTCCACCCTCGGCGCGGAGCTCGTCTCGCGCGGCTACAAGCTCCAGACATCCGGCACCGACAACCATCTCGTCCTCTGGGACCTGCGCCCGCTCGGGCTGACTGGCTCGAAGCTCGAGAAGCTCTGCGACCTCGTCGGGATCACGATCAACAAGAACGCCGTGTCCGGGGATGCGTCTGCGCAGGTGCCCGGCGGGATCCGGCTGGGCACGGCCGCGCTGACGTCGCGCGACATGCGCGAGGACGACATGAAGGTCGTCGCGGACTTCCTGCACCGCGCAGTGCAGACCGCGCTCGTCCTCCAGAAGGAGGCCGGCAGCAAGCTCCTGAAGGACTTTGTCCGTGTCGCGTCCACGCCCGAGGAGGGCAAGGTCGGCGCGCAGCAGGTGCAGGCGCTCGGGAAGGAGGTCCGCACGTTCGCGCGGAGGTGGCCTCTCCCCGGCGTCGACGTCTCGCAGCTCACGCGCCCCGCGGGCATCGAGGAGGAGGATTGATCGGATCGCCGCAGACCGGGAGTACTTGCTGGTTTTTTTTAAATATAAATGCACGGTAGATCTCGGAGGAGGCGGGTCTCCGGGAGGCGGGGGGTCGTGTTGGATAGAGCTCGCGAAAGTAAAATAGCCTGTCGGGTATTCAACATAATCCGGCCCTCCCAGACGTTCAACATCTCTGGGTCGTACACATGTATTAGTAGATTCCACTCACTATTGTCACTCTGCAACGTTCACTGTATAGTTCCGTACAAATGACAGTGCTTGACCATATACTGTATGTATATGTACGTACATGCACTGCCAGATGCAGTGATTCGGGTTGAGTACTTTTCAGCTGGGAATTAATCCAAAAACTTCAAGATGTGGATAACATGTCATACGCACGGGTATTGTATAATACTGTATATCGTCTCATCTCTTGTTTCTCGATGATCAGATCTATTGAGGTGCCATGCTAGAAAAAAATAACACAAAAAAGGACTGCCCCAGTGAGGCTCGAACTCACGACCTTCCGATTGCAGCGACCACATGGTCTAACAGTCGGACGCTGTAACCAACTCAGCCATGGGGCAGATGTCCTGGAAGAGAGACGGTTCAATATATTCTGTTAGTGTAAGCCAAATGTTGCTGCTCGGAAGAACGCGGGACACGTGCCCCGCACAGTGCTCGGCGCTATCGGAAACGACCAGGGAGCACGTCGCCTTCATCGTCCTCCTCGTCCAACTCTCCGTCTTGCACGCCCGGTCGTGTTCACCATGCAGCCCTCCCTCATCCGTCGCCAGCTTGGTGGCCTTGTGCCTCCGAAAATTGCCACCCCTTCCATCCTCGTGAGTACTCTGCTCAGGATCAGTATGCGCCAGCTCAAGGGTTTTCACTGATGCTGGCCGTGTGCTCGTTCGACAGTCCTCTGGTTCGGGTGCCGGCCTCGGCCCTCTCGTGAACTTCTACTCCAAGCTCCCGAAAGGCCCCGCGGCAACGTCTGCGTCGGGCGGCATCAAGGCACGCTTCTTCAATGGCAAGAACGCGTCCGCGGCGCCCCTCCTCTTCACCATCCTTGGTATCTTCGGCATTGGGTACACTGTTGACTACCAGAGTGCGTCCACTTGCTTTTTGACGGAATTTTGTTGCTGACTTTGTTCGCGCGGCGACATCCTCGTGTGTTATTCGGGCCTACAGTGCACCTCAGTGAGTGTTCCGTGACGGAGTCGTCAGAGTATGTAACTAATCCGCTCTGCCTGTTTCCAGAGCACCACAAGAACCATGCGCACTAAGTGGCTGCTTCGGGCAGCACTCGAGGGTCAATAGAGCTGGCAGTAATGTAACCGGGACCTTTGAATGGCATACAGTGCCGCCCACTTGTCTGCAAGGAAGTCGCTTTCAGTTGTGTATGCCAGTCGCAACTTTCAGTGAGGGTGCTCGCGTCAAGTAACATGTGTGTGATGCAGCCTATTGGTAGCCCACCAATCGTATTCGCGGACCGTAGGCAAAGTCGTTGTACTGCGGACGTATCGCGCTCAGAAGCAGTAGAATGAGCATGCCATGCTACACACCGAATAACGGTTTCACTCTGACTCCTGCTCGGACTCGACTTGGGGTGTATCATGCATACTGCTTACACTTCACTATTCCGGTTTGTCCAGCGGAGTGGTCATATGTTGAACAGCCTCCCTGAGATTGTTGAACCATATGTGCGTCACCTCACTGATATATATGCTGCTGCCAGACTCCCGTGAGTGCGCCGTGGGAACCGAGGTGGGCGCGAGATTTGCATCGGGGGGCTGATGCTTATAGCACCAAAGCCAGGATAGCTGGGATTTCCGACCCCCGTGGACTTATTCGTCAACATCGACTGAGCGCGGTCAACAACAGTCCACGCAAAGCGAGTGCAAACAACATTCATGGGCTATCTTGTAGGTCACATCAGTCAAAGCGTTGGAGAATCTCGCGCCTGACCCAAACACCCTTCTGGCCGCGGTCAAACATCTCGCTAGGAACGGTTTGTGAGTATATGTGATATGTACGCCAGGGAATGTTGTCATACTGACTGTCCCAGGGTCTTTTCATGTTTCCTCAAGGCGGCAACTTAGAGCTAATAACATACTGGCAGTCATTCAAGAAAGACTACAAGTTATGCGGCTTCTTTGTCAGAACGTAATCTGCCATATTGACCAAAGCGATAGGCGATGGGAAGCAGACTCCAGATGACATTGAAGGCCTAGTTTTGGGCCGCGTCCATAGCTTGCAACGAGGGTGGGCCCTTTGCGCCCCTAGTAGCGTGATGTTCAGGCCTAGGGATATCCAACAGGCATTTGGATCAAGCACATACAAGCCAAGGAACAGCTCCACCACAGCGTTATTTACCGGTGCCCCGAGTCATTCACCATCAAGCAGTCAGTCAAGGCCGTCCCTGATGTACGGGTTCGTGCTTCCGATCCTCTCCTCACGGAAAATCTATTCGTAAGTGCACTTGTAGTATTCCATACACAATGCATACATGCTGGCAGAATTGTAGCCCGCCTCCCATCTGACTGGAGGCCCGTGGTACACCAACAAGGAAATCGGAACAGACTTCATCAGGCCCATGTCGGACGTATGTGTATGAACTGTTCAAGAGAATATCAGCCGGTGCCATCGCCGGCTATACGGGGGAGAACGAAGAAGACGGCACCTGCACGAGTTTCGCGTGAACGCGCTCGAAAAACAATCGCTGCTCTCCCAATACGATACGGACACACAGGAGAGCGCCTACAGCTCAAACAGCAGGTGTGTCACTACGACAATTGACTGCAGCCAGTTCTTCGTCAATGTTCATGGTGCCCATGCAGTCGGCGGAAGGGGCGGAGACTACAAGACACCAATGACTCATCGAACAAATCGGAAGAAATGCTCGCTTATTTGCAACTCCAACTCTACAACACGAACAGAACACCAGTGGCTCAAGACGTGGGCGTTGTCGTCTATCAAGTTGTTCACGAGGGACGTGTCTTTTCCCTCGATATCAATCAGGTCCCATGCCTACGCTGTGAAAAGCTTGACTTCTGCAGCCACATCCATCGGAATTGACGGTTCCTTGTGGCACGCAGAAGTCAAGTCCGATGGATGTGGCTACTACAGTCAATGGGCTACTTCGGCCATTGGCGGTAAACCAGGTCGGACATCAGCCATACCCCGAAGGCAGTGGACTCGGGAGACAGCTAAACCTATAGAATCCAGATGTCCCCTGGGCCCCCACCATCACCAACAGGCCTGGTTCGGAGCCACCTCCAGGGCTGTCACGGCCATGTTCACTTGTCTACGTCGAGTTCAGCAATATCACCGTCGTTTGAAGATCACTTACAACTGCGACGTGCCCCATATTTCTGATGCGCTGTTCCGCTGAACCCGTCGTTGAATGTCTCTAATAGCTCACTGTGACGAATCTTCTTCCCTAGAGTTCGGACACATACAACCTTTGCTATGTTACGGCCTCGACATCTTGCCGACTTTCGTCGTACAACCGAACCGACCAGGCTACACGCACACCGTGCATCAAGTCTCCTTCCTCTGGGGTTGACATAGTGCTGCGAGCACCAAAAGTCTCGACCCCTAATTTCGCGAGGAAGCGCCATGGTGGAGAGCACAATCAAGCGGTCCTGATGCGCAGCAGTGCCCGACACCGCAGTAAGGCCTCGATTTTGAATCTATGATCGATTACAACGGAGGTGCGTCTAGCAACGGTCCCCTTTCTCCCCTAGTAAACGACCAAATGTGACATGACCTCATAGGACATCTGGGGCACAGTAGCAGCCTGAAGTACAGCGTGTACGTATACGAAATGCGTCGTCAGCGTTCAATACCGCTTTCATCTAATTGCTTCTAGCTGTTTTTAGCACACCCTCTGACCCCATGTACACGTTTGGAACAAAGCGCGGTGTGATACTTCCATCTCCCGGCTCCACTAGCTCCAAGTGCGATGCCTCTGCACGACAACGGGGGACAACCACCTTACCGCCCGGCGTCTCGAGGCTGACCCTGCACACCTACTCTATGAAGGCGCATTAGGGCTCGCAACCGCCGATCAGATCGCGTACTGTGAGGTGCCCCCCTCGTTGGCGTCACAGGCTTCGAGGTATATAAGATCGCTCGCCGCGTTGGTTTGGCCCCATCGCCTTTGGTCGAACACTTGAGCCCGGTGCTCATTTTCACATCCCCGTACCCCCCCTACACATTCACGACCAGTCAGCACACACACCCTTCCCATATTCCTTCATACACACCATCATGTTCTCCTCGAAGTTCACCGCCTTTGTCCTCGTCTCCCTCACGGCCTTCGCGTACGCCGCCCCCGCCAACATCCAGAAGCAGAACGCCCTCGACGCACAGAAGCTGAACGCCAAGTTTGCTTCGCTCTCCGGGAGCTCCACCTGTCAGGGTACGTCCGAACGTTTTGTCATTCGGCCGAAGACTAGGCTCATATTGCAACAGAGGGCGACCAGGCATGCGTGCAGGGCGCGTTCGCGCAGTGCGTCGGCGGCAAGTTCCTCACGCAAAAGTGCACCGGCGGTGCGAGCTGTGTCGCGCTCCCGCTCGTGAACAAGCCCGGCACGTCCATCACCTGCGATACCAAGGACGACGCTGAAGCGCGCATGAAGGCTGCTGGTGTTTCCGGCGGCCTTACAGGCTCCGACTCGGGCGCTGGCGGCGACGACGGCTCCTCGACCGCGACGACCGATGGAGGCGTCGACGCTACCGCGACCGTAACCGACAGCGGCGTCGATGCCACTGCAACCGCCACCGGCAGCGAGATCGATGCCACTGCGACCGCCACCGACAGTGGGATCAATGCTACCGCTACCGCGACGGACAGCAGTGTTAATGCTACTGCGACTGCCACGGACAGCAGTGTTGACTCTACCACGACCGCGACGGACAGCGGCATCGATGCTACCGCTACTGTGACCGGTAGCAGCGTGGACTCTACTGCTACAGCCACAGACGGCGGTGTCGACGCGACCGCAACGGCCACTGACGGCGGCATCGATGCCACTGCAACTGCTACCGACAGTGGTGTCGACGCGACCGCCACTGGGACTGAGGGCGGCATTGACTCGACCGGTACGGCCACCGACGGGACCGTCTACGCGACCGCGACCGACACCGGTGTCTCTGCGACAGAGACCGACACAAGCATTGCGTCTGCCACTGCGACAGACTCGAGTAGCGCGACGGCCACCGACTCCAACATCACGACGGCCACCGACTCCAACATCACGACAGCCACCGACTCCAGTATCGCGACGGCCACCGACTCGAGCGCTGTCACTGCTACTGACTCGACCGCGGCGACCCCGACGGGTTCGAGTGCTGCCACGGAGACCGACACGAGCGCTGCAACGGAAACCGATACGAGCATCGCAAGTGCAACCGACTCGAGCATTGCTAGCAGTGTGACGGACTCGAGTATCGCCACTGGGACGGCGGTCGACTCCATAGCCGCCACTGCGACAGCGACCGACTCCGCCGCTGGTGTCTCTGATTCTGGTGCGGCCACGGCGACAGATAGCGCTGCTGTCACCGGCGAGACTTCCGCGGG